GTCAGATGTTTCTTACTTAAAAGTTTTTATCTTTTTAGATCAGCATGCCCCTCTCCCAACTAAGTAACAGCTGGAGAGGAGCAATGAATATTTGTTTTTAAATCATTATTAATTTAATAAATCCCCTATACAATCTCTACACTCCTATACACACACAATACATGGATGACTGGGAGTGGGGGGGGGGAAGGGGGGAAGGGGGCTTTGAAGATTTTTCGCACAGGGCGCCTAAAGGCCTAAGACCAGCCCTGCCCTTGGTATATCACTTTAGTGTTGAAGGCTCTCTCTCCCTCCCTTTAAACCATAGATGAGTCATTGGATCTTATCCTTACTCTTAAGAGCCTGTTATTGGTAGCAGTGACTTTATGTAGGAGGGTCTTAGAAATGCACGCCTTATCACCAGATGAGACTTTACTGTCTACTATCCTCTAATTCTCATCTTAATTAAGAAAATATTCTGCCATCCTTTTTTCAGTCCCACAACCAACCATGAGGAGAAAAGTTAGCATACATTGAATGTGCTAGGTGTCTCTCCATTTACTTATCAAAGATTGCTGAGTGGAGGCAGTCATCTAGATGTATTTCTGGATATTGCAGGGGTCTAGCTGAATCTATGTTCTTGAGAAGTTGGATAGTGATGACGTATCAGGCTCATCATAGACAGCTGCTACTAGCACCCCTATTGAGAGCATCTGTAGAGTCACCAGCTGGCCATCGGCCAATACATTTATTTGGATTTGTTTTTGCAATACCTTTATCAGGTACTATGCATTGGATGTGCACACTCAGAAGACATCACAGTTTTGGAGAAATATTCTGTCTTTGGTTTCTTAATTTGTATAAAAATAAATGCCTTTTCTATTGGCATTTTGTAAATGGTGGTGTTCTCCTTCGCTTCTTTTAGTGTGGCTATTACGCTAAAGTGATGCTGCCATGGATTAGCCAGGAATGAAGAACATTTCTTCATACTTACTGTATTTTTCTTTTCCCGTACACATTCATGGCAGAATCCTTTTTTGGAAATACAAAATGATACACACTAAAAATATATTTTCTAAATACAATAATCAATCTTTATTAGTTAAAGAGACAGCATATGAACAACAAATTACAAAAGACAAATATAAAAAAGTTACTTAAACCTGCTAGTCATATTTACCATAAGCCTACCAGAGCTGGACATATGTCAAATAAAGACCCCCAACATTTCGGCACCAAAAATGTGCCTCTCTGAATGGAAATGAGGGCCTGGTTATCCTGACTTAGCCGATGAAATGCGTGTTGAGAGCGTGTATTTGTATTTTTCTTTTGTCCTTGCATGTATCCACTGAACTGACATTTCACCCATGTTCAGGACAACTGGCAAAAAAATAGGCATATGTTTCCTCTGTAGCCTTTTGGCCAGTGCGAATTTAGGGAACAACCGATCCTGGACATAGTTTCCTGGGTTTGCATATGTTTCCATAGTCAGGCAATCCCTTAATCCTTTTGATACGTTGTGCATTCAGCCCCCAACTGACTATTTAGGATATTACAGGCATAGTGGTTTACGTTAGTAAATGCAAACTTAGGTTTGTGTGCAATCAGTAGTGAGTGTGACCTCTAGTGATCGTTTTGGGGTAACACCTGAAGGGATCAATCTGATTAAAGTTTTTTAATATTTAATAATGACACCTAGTATATTATCGTTACCTTTACCCAAGACTTTTTAGATTAGTTTTGGCCCTTATAAAAGAGTCTAATGAACTATTTTGTCATGATACACTTTATATACTTTTTTTATTTTATAATCAGAACTTTTTGAATGTCAATAGATGTCTTTTTAAGGATTTTTTCAATAAAGTTGTTTTTTTTAATAGGGGTCTTGATATACATTTTCTCCACATTTTTCTTTCCTCTCTTGACAAACCAAATGGAAGGGCCTAAACCCCTTTGTTATGTGGACAACCCTAAAAAAACTCTAGGGACTGCCTGTAAACATAATTTTATCATTTGTAAGGTTAGTATGTGCAAGTATGTAATAAAACAACATACCCTGCACTGGAATTTTGGTTAGCTCCTAGAGCAAGGTTAAGATGACTAATCGGTACCCCTAAAATTGTTCCTGGGATCATGCATTATGATCAGGGCCGGACTGGGACCTAAAATCAGCCCTGGAAAAAAATTCTATACCAGCCCAATAATGCGTCGCGCGAGCATAGTGTGCTGATAAAGAGGGTGAAAAAATAACTTGAAATTGAAAACTCTTACTCCAACGAAGGAACGCATATAGGGCTTCAAAATAAACAAAAGAGCGCCTTTATTTTAAGTAGACGTACATTTGCATGTAATGTTTCAGTACAACTACTTTGGCCTATTAAGGACATTTTAGTAATGGTACTGAAATGCTGAATGTCTGCAGTTGCACAACTAAAAAATTAAGTGATCTTGTTTATTTTGAAGTTCTATGGGTGCGCTCTTCACTTTGAATATGTTATTGTGCATGAGTATGCAACTAGCAACAAGACTGGGCCAATATGTGCTCATTACATGTGTGTGTGTGTGTATTACTGTCAGGATCACATCAATTTACGTCTATTACCTTTACCTCGTTTAGTGTATCTTGTCTCCAATTGTCTCCTTTTTTTCTCTTACAGCGACCCTTGTGCATCTTTTACTTCATCCCAGTCCCTGTGTGTTTCTTTTTACCCTTCTCCAGCCTCTGTATTTCTCTTTTCCCCAGCCCCTTTTGTGTTGTTCTTAGCCCCAGCCACTTTGTCTCTTTCTCCCCTTCCAAATCTCATCTGTGTGTCTCTTTCTAACTCCAGACTCTGTGTGCCTCTTTCTCTTCTCCCAGTCACTCTCTGTCTCTTTTTCCCCCACCCAGCGTTGCCTCCCACAAATCTTGTGTCACTTTGTTCCCCTTCCCTACTGCATGTCTCTGTCCCCCCAACAAACCTTCCGTGTGTCTCTCTTCCCCAACTCCTCCCTGTGTCTCTCTTCCCCATCTCCTTCCTGTGTCTCTCTCTTACCCCTCTGTCTCTGTATCCCCCCTTCTCCTGTGTCTCTCTATTACCCCTCTCTTTGTCCCCCCAACCTACTATTACCCCTCTGTCTCTTTGTCCCCCCTTCCCTGGTGTCTCTCTATTACCCCTCTATTTGTCCCCCCATTCCCCTCTATTTGTCTCCCTCCATTCCCCTCTATTTGTCTCCCCATTCCTCTATTTTCCCCCATTCCCCTCTATTTGTCCCCCCCATTCCCCCTATTTGTCCCCCCCATTCCCTCTATTTGTCTCCCCCATTCTCTATTTGTCCCCCCTTCCCTTCTATTTCCCCATTCCTCTATTTGTCCCCCCATTCCCCTCTATTATTTGTCTCCCTCTTCCCCATTTGTCCCCCATTCCCTCTATTTGCCCCCCATCTCTTGTCTCCCCTTCCCTCTATATTGGTCTCCCCCATTCCCTTTGTCTCCCCCCATTCCTTGTCTCCCTTCTATTTGTCCCCCATTCCCTTCTATTTGTCCCCCCATTCCCCTCTATTTGTCCCCCCATTCCCCTCTTTGTCTCCCTCCTTCCCCTCTATTTGTCTCCCCCCCCTTCCCCTTCTGTGTGCCTGCTTACCTTGTTACAGGAGGTCTGAGGGAGGGGACGGAGCTAGCTACCATGCTCCCTTGCGCTTCCCATAATTCCCAGCATCTACACATCATACAGTAATTCCTACTCTATGATGTGTAGCAGTGGCGGATCCAGAGCCTGATCTCGGGAGGGGCACTTGTAGATTATTTAATTAAATAATCCAGGCACAATAACCACTACAGCTCAGTGTAGTAGTTATGGTGTCAGTAGTGCCAGGATTCCACCCCAGAGTAAGTAGTCATACTGTTTAAGAACAGTTTGACGACTTACCTGGGGTCTGCTGGGATATAGGGTATAGGAGCAGTGGTGTGTGTTAAGGGTGAAGTGTGTGAGTGCGGCAGTGTATGTCAGGGTTGTAGTGTGTGTGTTAGGGGGCAGTGTATGTATGGGGGCACTGTATGTGTTTTTGGGGCAGTGTGTGTGTATGGGGGCAGTGTGTGTATGGGGACAGTGTTTGTGGGGCAGTGTGTGTATGGGGACAGTGTTTGTGGGGCAGTGTGTGTATTGGGGGCAGTGTTTGTGGGGCAGTGTTTGTGGGGTGTGTGTATGGGGGGCAGTGCTTATGGGGCAGTGTGTGTATGGGGCAGTGTTTGTGGGACAGTGTGTGTATGAGGGGGGTAGTGTGTGTATGGGGACAGTGTGTGTATTGGGACAGTGTTTGTGGGGCAGTGTGTGTATGGGGGCTGTGTGTGTGTATGGGGACAGTGTTTGTGGGCAATGTGTGTATGGGGACAGTGTTTGTGGCAGTGTGTGTGTATGGGGGGCAGCGTGTGTGTATGGGTAGACAGTGTTTTGTGGGCAGTGTGTGTATGGGGGGCAGGAGTGCATGGGGGTGTGTGTGTGTATGGGGGCAGTGTGTGTATGGGGACAGTGTTTGTGGGGCAGTGTGTGTATGGGGGGCAGTGAGTGTATGGGGGGGCAGTGTGTGTATGGGGACAGTGTGTGTGTATGGGGGGCAGTGTTTGTGGGGCAGTGTGTGTATGGGACAGTGTGTGTATGGGGGGCAGGTGTGTGTATGGGGACACAGTGTTTTGTGGGGCAGTGTGTGTATGGCGGGCAGTGTGTGTGTAATGGGGGCAGGTATGTATGGGGACAGTGTGTGTATGGGGGGTAGTGTGTGTATGGGGACAGTGTTTAGGGGCAGTGTGCGTAATGGGGGGCAGTGTGTGTATGGGGACAGTGTGTGTGTATGGGGGCAGTGTTTGTGGGGCAGTGTGTGTGTATGGGGGCAGTGTGTGTAATGGGGGGCAGTGTGTGTAATGGGGACAGTGTTTGTGGGGCAGTGTGTGTGTATGGGGGCACTGTGTGTAATGGGGGGCAGTGTGTGTATGGGGGGGGAGGCTTTTAAATAATAAAAAAAAATTTTTTTATTTAATAAAAATAAATATTCTATGTCCCCCCTCCCTTCTTACCTTTATTTAGGAGGAGGGGGGACATTTCCCTGGTGGTCCGGTGGGGGATTCCCTGGTGGTCCGGTGGGGGATTCCCTGGTGGTCAGGTGGTCAGAGTGAACTCTAGCCCGCAGCTCCCGGGCTAGAGTTCACTCTCGCGAGATTTGGAGCGTTGCCGTGGTAACCGCGGCAACGCTCCAAATCTCGAGAGAGAGGAGGACCCGGAGGAGCTGCAGACTGAGCTCCGGGTCCTCTCTCTCACTCCCTCCCTCCGCCGCCGGCTGTAAGCACAGTGCTTGCCGACCGGGGAGGGAGATCTCTGATCTTCCTCCCCGGTCCGCAGGCACATTGCAGGGCTGGCACTTGGGCAATGCCAGCCCTGCGTTAGCCGGCAGGGGGGAATCTCGGGGGGGGCAATTGCCCCGTTGCCCCCCCCCTGGATCCGCCAATGATGTGTAGATGCTGGGAATTCTGGGAACCGCGAGGGAGCATGGTAGCTAGCTCCGCCCCCTCCCTCAGACCTCCTGTGCTGACAGCCGCATGGCTCTCAGTATCAGTGAGTGTGCTGCCGGATCGCTTAGGCGGCCGCCCGGCACACTCACTGATACTGACAGCAGCATAGCTGTCAACACAGGAGATGGGGCCGCCGGCCGCAAGGTGAGTATTCACCTCAGAGTGTGCCGCCGGACCGGCCACCTGGCGGCACCGACATGCGGCCGGCGGCCGCGATATTATTAAAATATTAGGGCGCAGGGCTCCCCCTATCTCTCCGGCCCCCCAGGTGCCGCGGCCCACCGGGAAATTTCCCGGTATCCCCGTGGGCCAGTCCGGCCCTGATTATGATAGTTAAAGTCTTTAGTGACTAATCATAGGTTGGAGGCATGGTGGAGTTGCGAGAGTGTGCTCCCAATCTGTTTACTTTGGTTGTTTCTTTCTTGCAACAAGGGTCTGTCTACCTTAAAGGGTGGATTAGTTATAGCGCCTGGAGTCCCATGACACTGTCCTTCAATTCAGTGTTAAACTTCTTTAGAGTAGGTTACAACTAACTAAGTGTCCCTGGGCCACCCACAGTCAGGCCCCCTCTGGAGGTGTGGCTAAGGCAGAGATCCCACACTTCACTGTAGTCATATCAATTCATACCATCAGTTGGAGCTATGATAGGCTAAAAGCAGTCAGATGACACTCTCTGCCAATCAAAACTGCCTATTGCTCCTCAGGCTAATTCTTCCTCATTAGCCAAAGCAGCCCAGATGGGATGAGCTGCTTGGGGCTCTCATTTAGCAATAAATCATAAAAGCAATAAAAACGGTTTAATGCCGAATGAAATAACAGAACTAGGGTACTCTAGACACTATAACCAGTTTAATGAAATGACGAAGACACAATGCCTACAGTGTCCCTTTAATAGTTAGACGGCTGCAAGTGAAAAGTTCAGAAGCTCAGCCCACTAATATGCTACCATTCCTCTGGGCAGTGCAATAAGATTCCAGCATTGAGTCATTACTGCCCTGCAAGCCATAAGCAAGTACTGACTGTTTCACAAATGGGCATTCTAAAAGTGGTGAGGTATATGCAAGATGATCCCTCTCAGGAAAAAAGGGGATCAACACTGTTATATATAAACACTATATTGTGAAGAAAAGCTAAATATAAATTACTTGAAGTAACATCCCTGGTGTACCTCACAATGACACCCAAAAAAGCAAAATAAAAAATGTAGCGGAGATGCAATATTACCCAGGTTATCTCCGCTTATAATCCAAGTGAGGCTCAGGAACAAGTAAATAGTAAATCCACAGGCAAGGCTTCCAGCAGGTAAAATACAGCAATATCCCAACAGCAATCCCAATAACTGGACGACACACAGTTTCAGGAGCAGAACTGAAAGCTTTAATCCACAGTCTCCTTATAAAGCATGCTCCCATGCAAGGGAGGGATTTACAGTAATTATTACAGTAGCCAATCCTGTCCTGGTAACCTCCCACACATCTCCTCCCCTCAGCCAGCATCATAATCCCCTTATCCAGTACAGTAATTCCCCCCGTTTCTGGATGTACCCCTAAACGTAGGGGTACCTCTTTAAATCCTACATCCCCGGATACCCCTGATCTGGGTGAACAACATATCCAAAAATCACCCAGATCAGACCAGGGGTTCGGGAAATGTATGGAGGGAATAAAATGACCGACCGCACTAACTGAGATAGCCGAATAAGGTTCCATGCGAATGGGCCCTGCGGTCGGTCCTGGCATAAGGGAACAAAATACACTAAAGCCTCTAGCTATAGAGGCTAGGGAGGGTTCGCCTGAATCCCCTCGTTCGGTATTTTCTATCTACCGAACGAGGGGCCGTTCGGTAGTTTGGAACCGAACGGACCAGGTTTGTGGAGGTCTCAGCGGTGTTCGCCTACTCGAGTGTCTGATTTTAGTTCCAGACACTCGATGGCAAAACACCGCTGTTCGGGAGTTTTAAAATGGCCGCCGCCGCGTGTTCGTTTGTCGAATGGCGGCCACCCCCGAGAACAAAGGACGGCTACTTACTATTCAATTACCCGTTCGCAACAATGTTGCAACGGGTAATTGAGGACACACTTCACACAGGGGAGGTCTGGTTGTTCGGTAGTTTCATTTGAATAAACTAAGGGAATGAAACTACCGAACAATCAGAGGAATACAATTCTTTTTAACACATATAAAACACAGCAGATACACGAATGCAGTTATGTACAGTATATTTGTAGGATCGCCTGGTGCCATCCGCTACACTGCTCCCCCTTGCCCACAAGCCGGCATACACAGTCTGATCCAACACGGATCGGCTTGGGGATGTCCGGGGAGGCTCACGGATCATTTCTCTAGGTCAGTTTGTCGGGACAACCCATCAGCATTTCCATTCTGTTTACCCGGGCGGTACTGGATATTAAAGTCAAAGGGCTGCAGCGCCAGACTCCAGCGCAGCAGCCGGGCATTGTCCCCAGCCACCCGGTTTAGCCATACTAACGGGTTGTGATCCGTGAGCAGGGAAAAAGCTTGTCCGTACAAATATGGCTGTAATTTCTTCAGGGCCCACACCACAGCCAGGCATTCCTTCTCGATGGCGGCGTAGCTTACTTCTCGAGGTAACAGTTTCCGGCTGATGTAAGCCACGGGATGTTCTCCGCCATCGGCCCCGACTTGGCTCAGTACTGCTCCCAATCCAAACATAGAAGCGTCTTTGTGGACAAGAAAACGTTTAGTTGGATTGGGAGCTGCCAAGACAGGGGCATTGGTCAATGCGTCTTTCAACAACTGAAATGCCTGCTCACACTCCGGGGTCCAGGTTACTTGGCAGGGCAGGTTTTTACGGGTTAAGTCGGTGAGAGGTTTGGCCAGGGCACTATAATTCGGGACAAATTTCCGGTAGTACCCGGCTAGTACCTGAGTCTTAGTCCTAGGGGTAGGCCATTGAGCTACAGCCTCTACTTTGGCTGGTTCCGGCTTCTGCTTGCCGCATCCTACTCGATGACCGAGGTATTGTACTTCAGCCATTCCTATGCTGCATTTGGCTGGTTTCAGCGTTAAACCAGCGGCCCTAATCCTGTCTAAGACCGCTCCTATATGGGTCAAGTGTTCCTGCCAGGTATTGCTGAAAATAGCAATATCATCGAGGTAGGCGCAGGTATAATCTTGGAACCCATCCAGGAGGCGGTCCACCATCCGCTGAAAAGTAGCCGGGGCGTTTTTCATCCCAAACGGCATGACCTTAAATTGGTACAAGCCGAATGGGGTGACAAAGGCCGACTTAGGGATGGCGTCTTGCGCCAAGGGTATTTGCCAATACCCTTTACACAAGTCAATAGTGGTGAGATAGTGCCCCCTCACCATCCGGTCCAGTAGTTCGTCTATCCTGGGCATGGGATAGGCGTCAGATACCGTCTTCTCATTCAATCTCCGGTAGTCCACACAAAACCGGGTCGTGCCATCCCGCTTTGGTACTAGCACTACCGGAGATGCCCAGAGGCTGTCAGAGGGCTCAATCACCCCCAGCTGGAGCATCTCATCGATCTCCTTGCGCATGTTCGCCCGTACCGCTTCTGGGATGCGGTACGGGGTCTGACGCATGGGAAGTTGCCCTGGGGTGTCTACTCTGTGAGTGGCCAGAGGAGTGTAACCAGGTACATTAGAGAAGATACCCTGCTTCTCCCTCAACAGCTGTTGTACCTCGCTCCGCTCCTGTGGGCTCAACCGGTCCCCCAGGGTGACTTCCCCTAAGACCCCTGATAACTGACCCTCTCCCAGCAGATCAAGGAGAGGCAAACTATCAAACTCCTCGGAGTTAGGCGCACATATAGCGGTCACTTCCTCAGAGCGCTCCTGGTAGGGCTTCATCATGTTCACATGGAGCATGCGTCGCCCCCCAGTACCAACGCACGAGCCGATTATATAAGTGGTGTCACATCTTTGTTCTACCACCCTATAAGGGCCCTGCCAGGCGGCCTGCAGCTTATCGTGTCGGACAGGTTTTAAAATCAACACCTTCTGCCCGACCTGAAAGCTACAGTCCCTGGCGCCCCGATCATACCATGTGCGTTGGCGTGTCTGAGCTGCCTGCAAATTCTCGCGTACCGTCTGAGTTAAGGCCTCAAGGCGGTCTCGGAATGCCAACACGTATGGTATGATGGGGGTACCGTCAGTGCTCCGTTCTCCCTCCCAATGCTCTCTGATTAAATCTAAAGGCCCTCGTACCCTGCGGCCAAACAATAGTTCAAATGGGGAAAACCCAGTGGATTCCTGCGGCACCTCCCTGTAAGCAAAGAGGAGGTGGGGCAGGAATTTCTCCCAGTCCTTGTGGGTCTCTGCGAAGGTTCGGAGCATTTGTTTCAATGTACCGTTGAAATGTTCGCAGAGCCCATTCGTCTGGGGGTGGTAAGGGGAACTAATGACAGGCTTAATGTCACAAAACTTCCAGAGGCGCTGCGTGACTTCGGCGGTGAATTGGGTGCCCTGATCGGAGACAATCTCCCTGGGAAGTCCCACCCGGGAGAATATCTGCATCAGGGCTTCTGCTACTGTCTCAGCCTGTATATTCGTCAGGGCCACCGCCTCTGGATATCTGGTGGCATAGTCTACCACTGTCAGGATAAATCGTTTACCTGACGGGCTCGCTTTGTTGAGGGGTCCTATTAGGTCAACTGCTACCCTGCTAAAGGGTTCCTCGATTATGGGAAGGGGATGTAACTTGGCCTTGTGCCGGTCCCCCCTTTTCCCCACCCTTTGGCATGTATCGGACGTGTTGCAATACCTGCGCACCTCCTGGCTAATTCCAGGCCAAAAGAAGCTTTGGGTTAACCTGTACCGGGTCCTGCTGACCCCTAAATGTCCAGATAGCGGGATGTCATGTGCTGTCCGTAGTAACTCCGCCCGGTACCGCTGGGGTACCACTAACTGCCTCATCACAATCGGGTCTGACCCT